TTTTTCCCTCCCACAAACACATCATATTCAAACTCTTCAACATCAATTTTTAAGATTCCAATCTTAATATCGGGTGAAATGGTTTTTGTATACGAATCTAACGTTCTTATAGGTACCTCCTATCTAAGAACAACTCTAGAAACGTCAATAAATTTAGAATGGTCATTAATATCATCACCGCATCTAATAATTCCATTTTATGAGTTTGTGGGCTATGAATATAAATTGCAACTCTCATTTTTAGCACCTAAGGCAAATTTCTCTAGTTATATGAGATTGCTTACATTTTAGTTACGACATATTCCATATTCTATAGCCTTATAGTTTTGCTCAAATGGTTCAAATGCAATAACATTGTAACCAAGTGAAGCAGCGACAAATGTATACCATCCAAGATTAGCTCCTATGTCCAACAGAGCTATTTTATAATCAGGATATTAAATAGAAACCATTTTCAGAGCATTTACAATTTAAATAGAATTTTCATCTTCCCAAGAGTTATATCTGAAAACCCACCTAGATATAGAATCGGTATGTCGCATATTTTTTTGTGGTCTCACAGTAATAAATTTAAATGCTTTATATCCATTCTTAGCTTTAATACTAATGACTTCATAGTGAATTCCACCTTCTTATATTCCAGCCTATTCTCGACATAAAGAATCTTCTTATCGTAAAGTTCTTTTGTACTAACTTAGTTTACATGAATTAAGAAAAGAGAGATAGCACGATAATATGATAAAAAGTACTCTCTAGGCAAGCATTTTTATTTAATATAATTATTATTAATTTAGATTTTGAGACAAACCAACCAACACAGCTCTCATTCTCACTTTTTTCTCTTGAACCGCTTGTTTGTTTTTACTCTAGTTTGATATTTCTAATCGTTAAGGCTGATTTATTTAGATTCATTTAATTGAACACTATAAATTAGGAATCAATTGTTTTCTAGAGTTTACACACAAGAAAAGATAAATGCAAGAAAAACATGCATATATCAATACTAAGATTGACCAATGGCTTTTATTGAAGATTGAACCATAATTAGACGACCAATATTATGACTTGTTCTTTAAGATCATTATACCACACCAAATAAATTAAAACTAGCTCTCCACACTCAACCACAACCAGATAAATTGATAAACACCCATTTCGTTTACATAAGTTACCCTTTTTCACTATGTCTGAGGGTATCAGAGAGTCCTAAATTAAATTTGATGAGCCATGAGCAAACTTCACAAGTGCAAGTTCGTCGACGAACACTAAACCATGTTCAAGCAGTTCATAAAGGAATTGATTCCGTTTGCTACGTGCGAGTAAGAATACATGCTATTTGACAAGAGAATATTAGAGATTTCAGTGTGGTTCAATCTAAGAAGCTACTATTGTCTCGAGGGACACTGTTATCCATTGAACGAGGTGTTGTCAAAGTATGTCACGTTTTTTCAACAGCACTTCAAAAATATGAAGAAAGTAAGCATCAGAGATCTCGAATTCATCTGTTACGAGGTAAACAGCAAGATAGTATGTGCAGCGTTCGTTAAGTTTCTCAAGTAATTACCAGCACCACAGACTGATCACTATTGCAGAGTGTACTTCATTCACAATCAAAAGGAATACAGGATGCACGCAACAAGACTTATGGGGATGATTGGGCAGTTTATGAGAGTGCACTGCTCACTTATAGGTTGGGGTCCTCTTGTGAAATGATTTTTTGCATGCTTC